AAAAAAAAAAGCCCACCACACCCCGAGCCTCCTCTGTTCCTTGTAGGATAGCGTGAGCTAAATCCAGCGCGGTGCCTCCTCCCGGTGAGTTCGCAGCCAAGTGCATGACAATTAGTGGCAGAGCGGAGCGGGGCCAAGAGGCTGGTCCAGCCGAGCCTCCTGCTCCAAGGAACATCCTGCAGCGCTGATAAAAATGCCTGTCTGATCCTGCCAGGCCAGGCGGGAGCCGAGGCAGGGTCTGTCTGCTCCGGGGCCGCTCCAGCACCAGCTCTCTGGAGCGGCTCCTCTTGCAGCATCATGGTCAGGGATGCTTTGGCCTGTGAGTGCTGGGAAGGGCAGGGATCTTGGCTCACGGGAGGCTTGATCTATGTGCATGTGGAAAATTTGCCTAGAAGGAAGGATTACTATGCTTAACACACCGATTCCACACTGGTTTTCATTGTTTCATCCTTCTTTCTCCTTCCTTTCTGCTCTGCAGATAATATTGAGTCCTAGAGTTTTGCTTTTGTTGAGGTGGATTTTGCCTTGCAGCATGAGGTCAGCTTCCTCAGCTCTTTGCTCTAGAGGAATTATAGAATCATGGAATCGTGGAATCACAGACTGGTTTGGCTTGGAAGGGACCTTAAAGCTCATCTCGTTCCACCCCCTGCCACGGACAGGGACACCTTCCTCTAGACCAGGTTGCATTGAGGCTTTCAGTAAATTTGACATTGATAGGAGAGATCTAAACGGGAAAAATAACATCCCAAAGATCCCAGATCAAATTTTTGCCTTGTTATGTTCAGATTTTGCAGTCTGAAACCAGAATTGAGCCTGTGTTCCTCTGTTAATCAAGTAGAAAGAGCTTTGCTGTCCACACTGTCTGAACGAAAACTGGAGGCCTCCTCTAGAATGAAGCACTTTTTTTTTGGTGGAGCCTGCAAGAGTGCAGGAAAAGCCTGCTGGAATTCAGTGGGAATTAGGGACCTGGCTTCTGTGAGCAACCAGGAAGGCGCTCATTGGGATGAGTTGTGGATGAAGCATGGTTCTGTGTTGTAGACATGCTATCTGCTTCCTGTGCCACCTGAGCATTCTCCTGCCAGGATTAATCTGCCTTTGGTGTGTTTCCACACAAATTCCACCCTTGAGGTTTGGGTTTTCTGACGAGCAAGTTAAATGGGTCATGTGCTTGAGGCTGTTCTTGTGCAGAGTTAGCAGGCAAGGTGTCAAATGCCAGCAGCTGGGATAGCAATTCCAAATGGTTGGTAGGCAGTGCAAACATTTGGTGTTTGACAGGACTTCGATGTCTGGAGGTCAGCAATCTGATTTTGGGCGTAGATGGAAAGTGTCTTTATTGTGACTTCCACGCCCGACATGAAGCTGACTGGGAGTAGGAGACCTTGGCATGAGGGAAGATGGCAGAGCACAGGTGTATCCTGGAAGCTCCTTAATTTTCATTTGGTTAACGAGCGTCATCTGGACAAATAAATGGTGAGGGAGCCTCTGAGTATCTGTAATTCTGTAGGAGCTTACACAGATAAGTAAGAAAGTCTGCTTGGGAAGGAGTAGAGCACTTCAAACCAAGTGAAAGGTGGGCTGACTAAGGTTGATTGGTCCTGTTGAATCTTTACCCCAGTTTCAATTTAAAGACTGTAGGCCCTGCTGCAGAGGAACTGGTTTCTTTTTACTGAAACAGAACAATTCCTCTTTGGCATGAAGGATAGGTAGAGCCATTTCCCGACTTGTGTATATTCCTTGTAAGTCATTAGAAAAATGATGCTGTGGTTTGAACAGGCTTGTGCAAGCCTGTCAGGGACATCTTTAGGAACAAAACTTCTCCCACACGCGGTGCTTTGAAGGTGCAGGGAAGGATCCCAAGGTGCATATGCAGAGTTTTGTTATCTATTATTGATGTGGAGTTGTCAGTGTGAGGAAAGGTGATAGTCCAAGTGCTGTTGAACCGTGTGAGTTCAGGATGATAAAGGAATGGGCATGGACCTGTTGGAACTGCAGGGCAGGTCACCACTCACCCAGCGCAGAAAACGCCCAGTGGAATTCTGAGGGTTTGTGGGAAGCAGTTTTTTTTTTCTGCCTCTAGCAGGAGATTGCTGTTGAATTACCAGTGTTTTTTTCCAGACTTAATGTAATTTAGAATATATTGAGTCAGACTCACCTATAGATTAAAGCTTACTAAACTGGAAGTAGGTTTTTGACACTTGTGTGGCATATTTTTAAAGCTCTTGCATAAACAGCTAAAAGGAAAATGTGTGTCAGAAATTGAACTTTTCCTGAATGTTCTGCTGAGAAAACTGTCAGGTTTGTGCTGCGTGCTGGCTCATCCCTTGGATCCAGAGCAGAGTTCAGGTGAAGTGACAGGAAGGAGGGTTGGAAGAGGGGAAGCATGAGGAAGAACAGCTGGAAAAAAACCAGTCTGTCAAGCAGATCTGTGTTAAGCCCATAGTTTCCAGTTGGTAGTTGTTGGAAAACCACTTCAGTGCTCCAGAGCAGGCAGACAGCGTCCTCCCTGTGGAGTGGTGCTTGACTGTTGGGTAATGAAGAACATGACTTTTCCAGTTGCTGTTTTTTAACCTTAACAGTATCTTTATTTTTAAACAAGCAGCTGGAAAACCAAAGACTTCTGTGTAGTAATAATTTCACCACAGAGTGCTTGGGTTTTAAAGACTGTTTCATTATCTGAAATAGATGCTTGGACTGCTCCCCATGAAATCTGCAGTGTTTCTTCAGCACACCAACATGTGAGTTCAGTTCTTAGCAAGTTTTCAAGTTCTTCCCTTTTCAGAGGTTGGCTCTGGCAAAGTGCAGAGAATCCTTAAACATTCCTGATGACTTAAAATTGCTTGAGTTGTTTTCAAAGCTGGACATAAGTGGAAACAAAAACAGGTTAGGTGGTGCCGGTTTAGTTCTGTTCTCTTCATCCTCTGCTTGGATGAAGGAGAAGGGACTAACTTGCTGTCTAAAAACAGAACATGGCTTTTCTGTTGGTGGAAACCAGGGTAGAAATGATCATAAAATCAGGAAAATTAGCTCAATTAATTCTTAAGATTAGTTTCTTCTAAGAAGAGCAAGTGAAAAACCTTCCTGTTATCCTTGCAATGCTGTTTTTGACTGCTGCTTCTCGTCCATGTCGCACTGGTTGTGCTCTGACGTGATTTTTAATGTTCCCCAGATAAAGCTGGGGAATAGTTTCATACAGCATTTTTGGAGCAGGAGTGTGGGCTGAGCATCGAGGAGAATGTTCAAAGTTCTGTTCTCCTCCCCACCATCGCTATTCTCCTTCCTCCTACAACTCCCTCATAGGAAACTTTAACACAAGCAGTGTGACTAATGTGTTTATCCTTGGAAACTGCACCGAATTCCACCAGATCTCAGGGAACAGGTAAAGAGGCGATAAGTGCCGGTACTGACATTCCAACATACCACTGTGTGAAAACGATATCTAGCTTAAATTCATGAATAAGGGGCACTTGAGCCTTTACAATGAGCTGTTTCTTCTGCTGCAGGTACTATTTTAGAGGAGTCAGTTGTAAAAACTTGCATTGTGAAGGACAATGCAACCCCTGTGATTCATCCCCGGGTTGTAGAGCCGGAGTGTTCAGGCTCTTCTTAACTTCCTGCAGCTCCCACTGTTGAGATTCAAAGTTAGATAAAGTGTTCCTGCATATCTAGTAGCTGGAAAGTTCTCCTGTAAATCTAATCTAAACTCGCTTTGCTATCTTTTAGCCTCTATTCTTTTTATCCATGCAATTCAGAGCGGGGAGGAGGGTGTTGCCTTTCTGTCCAGGTTTATGGTCAGGGCGGTTCTTGGTGCGCTGTCTTTTCCTGCCCATTCCTGATCGTTTCTGTGGA